AATGATTTGGTTTCCTGAAAATGAAATACCTACTTAGCGTTGCTGAATTGGACTGCTCTGCCACTCCGGTGATGGCTGTTTTTAATCCTCTGTTTCGAGTTGATTGTGCACCTCACATTTTATCACAAACCACCGAAGAAAAATTTCTTTCATTTGGTTATTCAAATTTTTTTGAACTTGTCTGTGCAGTTCCACAGATTGGCGGTATGCAGCAGAGCAGTTTGTTAAAAGACTTCCTGACAAGATTTTTGTTCATTGTAAGTAGCATCAATTATCACTTCCTGATCTTATGTTGTAGGAACTATGGCTGTACTGAATGTAGAGAGGTGTACATGGGCTGGGTTTAGTAATATTATGAGATGATATGGAATCAACTTCATTTAATTTTTGTTCATAGTAAAATCTCAGTTTCAATCATTTATTTTGTAGGTAGTGAGCGAAATGTGTCTAAATTGACGCTAGATGGCGTTGATGTGATGGGTGATCGATTGGCTGAAGAGGTCAGGTCTTAAGCTTGACATTTTACCTGATTTTCTGTCACGTTTGTACCCAAATCTGATGATTGTTTATGAACACTCCAGGTTCTTGAAGTGATTCAAAGAAAGCCTAATCTACAGAAGATTTCCTTTGTTGCACATTCCGTGGGAGGATTAGTAGCAAGATATGCCATTGGAAAACTATATAGACCCGCTGAGACTAAGAAATTAGAGGCCTCATCTACAAATGGACAACCGCAAGAGTCATCTGGTTCAATAGGTGGCTTGGAGCCTGTGAACTTCATCACTGTTGCCACCCCGCACCTTGGTTCAAGGGGTAATAAGCAGGTATCTAGATAAAAAAAAAATTCCTGCTCTTGCATTTGATAGATTATTTCTTTGTTGTTTTCTAGATATGCTATTAACGAATTAGGTCTTTAAGTGCCTTAGTAGTTGGCGTTGTATTTTTCAAAGAAGTTGAATCAGTTTCTTGGCAGCGTTTGGAAAAGTAAAATAGTTTAATTCCAGAATGCAAGCTTGTGCAAATTCTTAGGAATACTGTTCGAGGAAATTAGCAACACCATAGGCGTGGATTGATCCGACAACAAATTAACCCATGGTCTGATTTTTTATGTTTTACCTTTGGAATATAATTATAACTATTCACATAAGAAAAAACTTCTTTCTTTTAAAGGTGATGAGCACTTTGCAGGCTCTCTTTGAGTCTCTTTTAATTGGAGCTTCGAATGTCTTGGTCCTTGCACTTCAGAAAAAATCAGGATTATTGCATGAGTTGGCTTTATATTTCACCCTTTATTCACGAGATAACTTTTCATGTCTATCTTTCCAGGTACCATTTCTTTTTGGCTTAGCTGCTATTGAGAAACTTGCGAGTTTGATTATCCATTGGATACTTAGAAGAACAGGTGAACACCTTTTTATGACTGATGATGATGGAGGAAAACCTCCACTGGTTCAACGCATGATAGAAGACCAAGGCGAATACTACTTCATGTAAATCCCAACTCTTTGATATTCAATATGATCTTTTGAGTGGAGTTTCATGATAGTATCACAAAAATTTGTATCTATGCAGGTCTGCGTTGATGTCATTCAAACGTAGGGTTGTCTATTCTAATGTTGACTATGACCGTATCCTTTTTTATTCTTTTGCTGCCTCTCTAGCCAATATCATTTTTTAAGGTAGATCGATATTCAAATTATTCTTTTTTGTTCTCCTTTACAAGAACTTGTAAAGATTTTGTTGGTTGGAGAACATCATCAATTAGACGTATAAGCGAGTTGCCAAAGGTACTTTTCCCTACTTTTTCCTGTAGTGGTAGTTTAACTACTGGATATTGTGGTAACCAGTTGATGAATTTGAAAATCATGATCATTAACCACTCGTTTTCCATATTATTCTTCAAAACTATTGGATTATCAGTGGGAAGATGCGGTCAATGAAAAGTATCCGCATGTTGTTTATGAAGAATCCTGCAAGGGTACTAATTCTGAGACGAGTGAACCGACCTCAACAGAAGTTAGCTATCCTGAAAGGCTGGAAGGTTTGTTGTCTCTCTTCTGTTGTTGAAGCTCCATGCATTTCTTATTGTATGCCAATGTTGACAGCTAAATTTCAGGAGCATAGTTGCCTAACATCCTTTGGTTTGTTCACGGATTTTGTTATTTAGAGGAATTGGTGACGGGTCTATCTCGTCTGTCATGGGAAAAAGTAGATGTTTGCTTTCATAAATCAAGACATAGGCTTGCAGCTCACAGCATTATTCAGGTAGCTCTCTCTTTCTCTGTCATACACTTCCTAGCACTTCCAAAACCCCAAACTTGGATGTCATAATTCATTATAAATATCTCCACAACAGCTAACACAGCCTCCATTCTTTACCATAGGGCCCATCTTTGTCAACCATAATGGCTTAGATTCTCTATTTCATTGCTGTCTGGTTTCCTTTTTTTGCTTCATTTTCACTTTTTAACTGATCATATTCCCTTGAAATACGCAGGGAAACTTTGAAGTATCTTTGTCAAACACTTTCATTTTGGCTTTCTGTCATGAAGCATCGTGCATATTTGCCAAAACTTTTGGTTGCCTGTATTCCATTTCTCAAAATCGTTTTTTATCATACCATTTCTTTTTGGATAAGTTTTCACAAGCACAATTTTTTCTTTAATGTTTGAGTTTCACCAAGATTTTAAAGAGTTAAAAAAATGAAAGCTAAATGATTAAAACATAGGTATGATTAGACATGTTATAAGACTAACGAATGAAAACAAAAAACAAGAGTTTACATCAAAGCTAGATGTAAAGAAAAAACAGTTCAAAATTTCAAACCTATAGTTTTAAGTTCTCCATTAGGCTCACTGTTTGGTAGCACTGGTCAGTCATTCTTACAGTACTTGGTTAGACAGGTGATTGGTCCATTATTTCAACCATTTCCTGCTGCTTTTACAAGTATGCAATTTCTTATTTTCTAAATGTTTGTCTTACTTTATACAATGGACAGGTGAAAGATCACACTGCGCATATAGAAGGTGCTGATGTCATAAATCACATATTCGATCATTTTCAAACTTGAACTTCTAACGTCCTAAACCACAATTACATTCTAGAGACCCGTTTATCCTCGGTAAGCTTTTAGCTCCGAAACATTTTCAAATTTAGAATGCAACAATATGAAAGTAGAAATTTAAACCTATAACCTTTTGGTTGAGACTAGGTACATTGATTAGTCAAGTTTACGTTTAAATTGACAATAACCAATTTGTTGAAGTCTCAGTGGGATACCATCACAAAAGGCTTGCATTAACATATCTCAATTTGTTAAAAGAAATATATCCTCAACTACATTGTTCTCTACATAAGAAGCATAGTTTTGGTTCTTTCTTTAAAGTTACACTTCAATTTTATAAACCTTTCGTATGCTTTAACTTAACAATGATTATCTTTATTTTTATTTCGTTAATGAATTTCAACTCTCCCATTTTGCTGATTGTAGGTTGGGATGCTTAGTGACGACTCGTTTCTACGGAACTTATGATTAAATTTTGTAATGAGGTCGCTTCATTCACTATATTGTAAAATTGTACATGCATAGATATACTACATTACGAGATAATCAAAGCTATTATAGTAATAACTGAATTAGTTAAAAGGTTGCTAGAGCAAGAACATACTTCAACAATAAACAAAAAAAATAAAAGTATACGATGTTGCATTAAACTGTTTAATGTCAACGTGGTTTGTTTTGCTTGTAATTTATTACGTATAGCAAGGATAGACCATATTCAACTACTTGATGTCAAAATTAACTTTATTGGAACAAAGACTCATTAATATATATATATATGATTATACTAACCAAGCACTAGCTAATATAGAGGTTTCAATTTTTGTCTTCACGTGTTGAATTCAAACATATTTGGTTTGAACAGAAATTTATGGTATTTTTTTTATTTATCACTTTATTTTTAAATAATAAAAAAGAATAAAGCCAATGATTTTGTTCCGTTGCTTGGACCCTAAAGTTAAAGATTAAACGGCCGCTATATAAATCTCTACCCAATCACTCGCGGGAAATTTTTGGCCAATCCCGTTCTAGAGAAAACTATTTTCAGCGCCAATGCGTTGTTCTCCGATCCGATAGCTTCCACTTCACGCGCAGTTTCGTTTCTTTCTGAAACGAACACCTCCCCCCTCTGCAATTCTCTCTCGCGATGAATTTTGGAGTTTCCACTTCCATGAACTTTGCAATCTCCACTCCATCACTTCACCTCTCTTTCTAGTTTCGAGTCCAACGTTGCGATCTCACTCGAGCTCATAGAAGCCGGAATGCGTATTCCACGAGCTTATTTTTTCGGTTCCAGCCGGATTGGGAGAAGGATCATCACTGTCAAGGCAGACCAGTCTTCTTCTAGAGCCACGGATGACGACGGTTTCAGCATCCAAGTGTCCCTCACTTGACTGACTTTCTCCCCCGGTAATGCTCAAACATTCATTACACAGTTTTTGTACTACTTTTCTTGATTATAAGCTTAACCAGAATGATAAATATATATATATATATATATATATATATATATATATATAATGTAAAACTTGCATGTCGTTGTATACCTCGACCAACCTATAATTCTACTTGCTCTGTCAGAATTTAGTGCAACTTATTTTGAGTTTGAATTAGTTATGATATTCGTAATCATTTAATATATTGAAGAAGGAAATATATTTTAAATATTTGTAATCAGTTAAATTTGAATAGTAGTATATTTTACTTTATTATCAAGATTTAGTTAGTTTATATTTTGTTCTTGTATCCTTTTTAAAGGTTGTGAAAGGTTGTGAATATCAATGAAGACTACGAACCTTTGATCCCAATTCTATTTCTTACTCTTAGATCTATATTATTTTGTTGATTAATAATATTTTCATATCTATTCACACTTCTAAGTAAGAGATTTTGCGTAGTTGGTATTAGAGCCAAGTTGGTACGGTTTGGTATTATTACTCAACGAGATGAATGGTGCGAGTTTTTCTATGGGTATAACTATGGAAAAGCTCGTTGGCAATAAAGTTATTGGAAGTTATGCATGGAAGTTTATCTACAAGGGCAAGACTTGTGGGATTTAATGGAAGGTAAATGACACATACATTCCAGCAATGCTCTACAGAATGCAACATTGTGTCAACAATGGAAGATCAAATGCGGAAAAACTTTATTTACCTTGCGAAATTTGATTAGCAAAGAGTATATTGATCATGTTCATGATTTAAAGTCACCAAAGCAAGTATGGGATACACTTCAAAAATTGTTTACTAAGAAAAGTACCGCTCGACTGCAATTTATAGAGAATGAACTAGCTATGGTAACTCAAGGTAACTTTTCCGTTGAAGAATATTTTTTGAAAGTGAAAAAACTATGTTCTGAAATTTCAGAATTAGATGTTGAGGAATTAGTGAGTGAGGCTCGATTACAGCGTTATCTTATTCGTGGATTACGGAAAGAGTTTATGCCATTTGTTTCCTCAATATAAGGGTGGGCAAATGAGCCTACAATAATTGAACGAGAGAATCTTCTTTCCAATCAGGAAACCTTGATTAAGCAAATGACTAGCAGCAACGAGTTTTCCCGAAAGTCAGAAGGTGTGTTGTATGTCAAAGATCAAAGGAGATAGAATTTTCATTCAAAGCCTTCATTTAGCAATGAGAATCAATTCAGAAGTGAGGAGTCGTCAAAGAAGCCATTTAAAGCTTGTTATAGGTGTGGAAAACCAGGTCATTTTAAACGAGATTGTCAGGTGAAAGTGGTATGTGATCGTTGTGGAAAGCCAAGCCATATTAAGTCAAATTGCCGAGTCAAAATCGAGGAATTAGAAGCAAATGTTGTACATGAAAGTAAAAAATCTTTGGATCAATTTGGGAATACTGCTTAACCACTGAGGTTCTTGATCAGCCAACAAACGTGACTTCAGCCGTATATCAAGATGATGTCTCTACAGGTGATCAAAATTCTAATTCCACTAACGCTTCTGAATTTGATTATCTCCAAATTTCGCCTCTGGACTCTCTCTTTTTCTCCAATGCCAATTTTGTTGTCCCTGATGACCCTTCTGTTTATTTCACGGCTTTGGATTTGGGATTCGACGGAAATGAAGTCTTCAAGCTAACCTTTGACGATCTTGACGGACTTTACCTCCCCTTTGAGGCTGACGATTTCCTCATTTGGGAGAATTTGATCAAACTACCAATTCACAGGATTCTAATGCTCATCCCCCGCCTGACCTAGAAATAGCGGCTCTGCTTGATGATGATGATTTATCACAATTTGATTTTGATTTTGAGGACTTGAAGGAGGATTTTGTAGTTCAGGAAAATTTATGTGAAGAAGGGGAGGATGATTCAACGGATAATAAGTTTTAGTGTGGCTAAGGATTTTGAGAAGGCGACAGGAAGCCAGAATATTGTTAATAACAAATCTTTTGGCGACGACATTTTTTAGGATGCAGACGTTGACCATGTGGAAGATGATGTTGATAAGCCACAAACTCGGCGGCTTTTGGATGATCAATTTGACACCCTCTTAAGTCAGGACTATGCATCTAGTGACGATGGTGACAGTGCTTGTGATGAGCATGATGGTTGGGTAGCTGAAGAAGATGAGTCCCTTGCTCAGAAGCTCAAGCATGCCCTTGGGGATCATAGTAAGGATGACTTGGACCTTGACCAAGGATATAAAGCTCCTGCGCAGATATAAATGATGATCTGCTTGTTCTTTAAGAAGAGCGGTTAGTCATTAATCTCATGTCAAGACATATATTAAAGGAAATCGAAAATTTTAAGTTCCTTGTTCAATTTGTTTTTTTGGTTGTCTTGACGTGAGCAAATCAACCATGTTCAAATTGAGATGTCCTGCGATTTGAAAAGAGGAGTTATATATAATTTTAGTTTCCTTCCATAAAAATGGATTTTGATGTATTCCATTGGCATTGTCTAATTATCATTATGGGTAACACGTATTTGAAAGTGAACGCACTTTTTTAGTTCTAGTTGGCCCGACAATTAAAATTTTGAATGCATTTGAGTTTGATAATACTAAAATATTTATGGGCCATGGTTATATGAATATTTATTATCATAGTGATTCCTCATACTACTATCATGCATAAACCTGCAAAACCACTGATTTAAATTCATTACTCTGCTTTTCTTTAGTCGTATCCAAGTCCACTGAAAAACTGTCAGGCTTATGCAATTGTCAAGTAAGTGCAGCGATAATGTTTCAATTAGTTCTATTATTACAGTTTAATATGCGTCCTAATCAAGTTTTCTTATTTTATTTTGGAACCCCTTTTTGGTTATTACTTCTTAGGCTTGAAGTATTTCAGGGAAACTTTTATCAAGCCAGAAGATGTTGCACAAAAAATCGGTGTACTATCTCTCTCTCTTTTGCAATTTATCATTCTATTTTCTTTTTATTTAAACAACTTTTGTTGGTATAATTACCAATGCGAAATCTCTGTTCATCATGCACTGGTTCCAGATTGTAATTACGAAAGATAGCACTAGCGGAGTACATTTTTGGCATGCAGGTCCTCGTGAAAAGGTATCCCTTATTCTGATCATGTCTATTGAAACTAAAAGGATGAACTGAGAACTTTGTGATGCAGGTTTATTTCAAGTCAGATGAGGTGCGTGCTTTTGCAGTAACATGTGGGGGATTGTGTCCTGGGATTAACACAGTGGTTCGGTAGATTGTTTGTGGTCCACTATGGCTTTAACTATATGTATGGTGTGATGTACTTGGAATTGAGGTATGAAAAATATTTTTATTTTCCTAACTTTTTAAAATATTTTTTTATCCTATTATTATCTTTCAATTTAGTCTGTTATTTCTCATGGATGGTATAAAGATTAGCAGATTAATTGTTTTCGTTGTAGTTGTAATCTTTTTCCAGTTCTTGTAAATGTGTACATTTGAAATTCATGAAATTATCACAAGTTTCAATTCGTCTTTTCTTCCAAAGACCCTCTAATGTAGAGGGTCTACTTCCACTTACATTGAAAGCACACCCTTGCCAGGCATCACCACTGGATGTGCATTTTAGAATGACGAAAAGATGTCATTCATTTAATGAAATAAGCTGTATGCGCACAAGGAGAGATTATGATAGGGTGCTGAGGTTCAACAAACAAGTTCTTTGTGATCCAAAGATCGCTAAACTTGAGTAGTCCATTGCATAGAGACAAGTAGATGAAGTCACTCTTTGTAAATTTGATCCGGAATTTATTATCCTCACAGAGACCAAGCAGTTCATCTCTTAGAAGGTGGTTAAATATCTATGGAGCTCTGTAGATATTGTTTGGCCTGCTCTGGATGCATCTAACTTTTTCTGTATATCATCATTTTGTGGAAGGATAATTCTATTTTCGTTTCCGAAGTTGTGGAGGGGTCTTTCTCCATTTTGGTGGCTTTTACCTCGCCTGATGGTTTTGTTGAATTTATGACCACTATGACTTGGGCTCACTCTCTTTCTCCGATTTTTTTTCTATTTATCCAGTTAACCTCTTGGGATTCTGACCACAGATAAAGATTACTTCCCAATCTAAACTTAATCAAGTTGAATCAAAATCACAAGGTTCAAATAAATTTGTATTTGTTCATGAAATAGACACAATGTGATTTAGGACGAACATATAGTTCTGTTTTCAGCTCGTGACACTGTTAATCAGTTGGTTCACCGACTTGATTTTTTTTTTTTTTTTTTTTTTTTTTTTTTTTTTTTTTTTTTTTTTTTTTTTTTTTTTTTTTTTTTTTTTTTAAACACATTCTCTTATGCTGTTGTTTGTCATCAGGGAGGATACAGAAGGTTTTACTCCAAGAATACATTGAAATTGACACCTAAAGTTGTCAACGATATCCTCTAACATGTTGGGTACTTTTCTTCGTACTTCACTAGGAGGCCATGATACAAATAAGACTGTTGATAATTTTCAAGATCGTGGAATGAATCAGGTACAAGTAAAAAGCTAGTTGTCTATTTCAGAGAAGAAGCGAGAGCAACAAAAAAATAAAATAATAACAATAAAAGAAGGAAAAAAATAAAATAAAATAAGAAGGAAAAATAAGGGAATGCTACAGAAAAATTAATGTCTTCCTATGGTCTAGGCGTATATCATTGGCGGCGATGGTACTCAAAGAAGAGCAGCTTTAATTTATCAGGTATTAACTCTTATTAGAATTTCACACTTGTTCCTTAACAATTCATTTGTTGGACTAGTAGTGTTGCCTTTCTTCTTCTAAAGGGAGTTGCAAAACGAGGTCTTCAAGTTTCTGTAGCTGGGATCCCCAAGACGATTGCTAATGCAATTGCTGTAAGTATTTTTCTGGACTTACAGAAAGAAACCTCATCTGTTGTCAATATTTTCATTATTTAGTCAAATATTCATTTGTAAATGATTAATTAGTTGCACATGAGGAAAGGCAAGATCATCTTACTTTTAGAACCTAACCATGGATGTCTATCCATTTGTACTTTCTGGTTTTAATGAAATTTATTCACGTTATGCACTGCATAGTGCGTACTGACCTAACTTGATTGATTATTTTCTCCCGACTGTATTGACAATTGGATGTATTGTTTTTGAATGACTCAATACTCTTTAGTGATGGAAGATACATTCGTATGAACACTTTTCATATGGATCTTTATGCACGGTGCATATTTCTTGATAATAAGACCAGAACTTGGATAAATTCATAGTTTGATCGGAAGTTTCTAGTGATTTGAGTGCTTAGATATCTACACATCTGAAGATCTTATCTTTAGTTCTATCGACGGAATTATAACTAGGACAGTGTGGATATCGTACATCGGCTCATGAAGGAAATGTTGGATGATTGTAGGGAAGTAGGACATTGTTAGGAATAGTAGTAAGGAAACATTAGGATATTAGGTCATATTAGTCACTATTTTTAACGGTGTTTCTCTGCAAGATAATTGTTTAAATTGGGTTGCTTTTATTGTTAGTTTTTTCCTTTTTTTTTTTCTCTCTCTCTCTCTGAGAGTTTATTTTTTAGCATTAATCTCTTTTTATTTTTTCATTGAAAAGTTTCATCACTTATTCAAAGGGTAGTCATAAATGGAGTGAATAGGTTGAAGGGTTTTCCTAAGGTAGACTAGAAATGGTTTTTGGGAGAGAACTTAGCCTCTCAATACCTTCGTAACTTTCTTGGTTAGTTCAATAAATTTTTGCTCTTGCCTCCTACTTTTCTAGATTTTCTTTTAATCTCTTTGTTGAGGAAACATATTTTATGAATGTGATCTATATCTTAGAGATATGGTAGGATAGTCTATTTGCATGTAAAATAATTAAGCTGATTTGTTTTGCTTGATGTTTGGCCTCTACCTGCCTACAAGAAACCATCATTTTGGTTAAGAGAAAAAAACAGAGAGAATTGTCATCAAAATTGACATTTGAAAATTCAAGCCAGTTGAACAGTTCAATTGGTAAAGATCAGCAAGAACCGATCATAAAATGAATGAAATTGATTTTTTCTTTCTTTCTTGAAAATGATTGAAATTGAACTGACTAAAATACTGTTAAGTAAATTTTTAACCTTCCCCTTCAATGGACTATAAAATGTTCTCGTAATTGTGAGGGTATTCAAATATCGAGACCTCAAATGTTTAAAATTTCACCCTATAATGTTAGAGCTAAAAAATCATTTATGTAAGGTAAGAACTATTTAGAGCCATCTGCAAGACGGCATTTTCTTCCATTTCCTTGTTGCAATGAGATTTTACCTCATTGAAAGTGGCATCACAAGAAAATGACACAACACAACCAACCCTCGTAAAACTATTTTTTCTTTTCTCAGAGTCAATCTCATATTGTTAGTTGTATATCTTCTTCTCCTCAACTTGTTCTTTGGTTTTATCCTTATCCATTCATGCACCTTCCTTAGGTTCTATAGGGATCACTCCTTCAATATGGACGATTCCCTCTCTCTATATAAGTCGCTTTCATTCTTTTTTTGAGGGACAGGGCAGCTGTGGGAGTGAAGGAAATGGACAATTCTGGGCCAATGGAAGTGACTCGACTTGACCTACATGTAAGGACAGGCGCAGCCTCTTTTTTGTTTGTTTCTTCATTAAATGATTGCTGGTTAACACACAGACAGCTTAACTAGTTTTTATCACATTATTCATAATGCACATATTTTGCTTCAAAGTTATCATATCACTTGACAGGATTTAGATGTATCTCTGTTCACATGGATGGGTATACAAAAATACTAAAATAGTAAAAAAAAAAAAAAAAAAAAAAAGTATGTTACTCTGGTAANAATTTTTCCCAAGCTTATTAGAGGTGACATTATTAGCTCATGACTGCCCATTCTCTTTTAAGAAATCTACTGTTGTTTGATTTAGACCATTTAGATTGTGTGGTGTTGTTGGGGAATGGTTGAAGAAAATTGTTTCTCCATACTTCTTTGTTTTTGGATGGTGATTCTTCTGAAACTGAGATGTTTTTACAGCAATGTTTTATTAGGTGGAGAGAGAATGTTCAAGTGCTCCTGGGGAAGCAATGAAAATCACTTCAAAGGTTAGTAAAAGTAGAGATTTCTTTTAGTGAAGTCTACATATATAATCATCGGTCTTTTTAAGTTGAGAGTATATTATATTAGTATAAAGATAGAGGTTAAAAGGTAGAATTGCATGAACAAGTGATAGTGGAGTCATGTCTAGATAATTTCAAAATCATTTAAAATGAACAAAGTTATCATTTAAATTTTTTTTTTTTTTTATTATTTTAGTCATAAATTAGACCATTGAGTAAGAGTAACAACTCTATATTTACATAAATATAGGTAGCAAATTAAATATTCCACTTAACCCAACATAAAGGTAGTTGTTTGTTTTAATTTAATTTCCACCCTGTAACATTTACTTCTCATCCATTGCCATCAATGCCTTGGGAATATTCCTCCATTTCTGCCCCCTTCCCCTCTTCTGGCCGGACACCGCCGGCGGGTCGGGTTCTCCGGCCTCCAATGGGAAATTCAAAACGGCTTTCCTCCCTCTCAGTCTAAACGCCGCACAGTCGTAGGCCTTAGCCGCGTCTATATCACTGCCGTATGTCCCCAACCAAACCCGAATCCCCTTCCGGGTCGGATCACGAATCTCCGCCGCAAATTTCCCCCACGGCCGCCGCCGTACTCCCCGGAAATGACTTCTCCCCTTCTTGTCGGTGTTTGTCTTCCCTGCCACAGAGGCTTCCGCATCGGCTTTGCTGGCCTGACCCAACATGTCGGTCTTCGGTGTCGACCAGTCTTCAACTTTGCCGGACTTCGTGTCGTTGTAGCAGCCTTCCGCCGGAGGCGGTGATGGCGGAATTGGGGAATCGAAAATGAAATCTTCCAATTTGATGGAGTGGAGAAAGGGGGAATCTGTTTGGAAATGGGTTTGGTGATCTGAGGAATCTACCAACAGAAATTGGGTTATGAATTCTATGGATAAGAATTCTTCTGAGGACGCCATTTTCAGAGAGATTAAGATTTAAGATCTCAGATGGTTGCGTTTTACAAAGATTTGTGAAGATTGAAGGAAGAGGAGACACCAATTATATAATATATATATATATATATATATATATATATATATATATATATATATATATATATATATATAACTTCGAATTTTCAACTGTATTTTGAAAGCAATAATACTACTAGTGATTTTACCCCAAAAATCCATAAATGTTGGATTTTGATCCAATCCACTTGGAACAATTATTTTTTTTGAAAAGGAATTGTGGAAATGAACATTCAAAAGATAATAAATATCTCAAAAAAAAAAAAA